GTTTTGCTTTTCTGGGAATATCTTGATCTGTCCTTCATATTTGATGGATAATTTTGCTGGGTACAGTATTCTTGGTTGACAGTTGTATTCTTTGTTTACTCATCTCTTAATGGTTTAGGGAGGGAGTGGAAACAAAAGCATGCTTAATCTGTCATCATTATAAACAGAAACTCTTTTGTTGCATTTCCTTTTTTATGGTTTTGTTAATCTTCCACGTACATAGTCATTACCTAACTAGTAGTTTAATCAGTAAGTATACCTCCATTTATATAATTATTTTTCCATATTTTTAAAATTATCTTGTTTCATAGTAATGTTGTTAGAAGAGCTATAAAATAGCCTTAAGATTAGAAGCAGGAGTGGCATCCACTTCTGTAAATAGCTTGCCTCCAGAAACCCTGTGAACCTGGAGAAAGGATGAAAGTCACGCAAGTGTTGAGGACTTCCGTTCACAGGGTCCCTATGAGTTGCCTACAACTCGATGGCACTTAACATATTACATTACATTATAGAGAATGCATACTTCTGAATTAAATATACAATATTTATAGCACATTTTGATGAAATAAATGGGGCTAGAACATCACTAAGTTTATCACCTAGGCAGATTGTGCATTTCTTTCTCTTGTTCCTCTTGAGTCTTTTTCTTTATTAAGTTTTGTAAATTATATGATAATACCTTTTTTACTCTAAGCTGTCTTCATTTCCAATTTTTTATAAATACTTTTTATTCCATAACATTCATTTAAACATTGAAAACAATTAGAGAGAACGATTTAAAAGAAATATATGATTAGGTATTATTTTCATGACAAGAGTCCAGAATGAGAGTTGCATAGTAAAGTGGACTGGGAGAGGACTATATAACAATGAAAGAATTTTAATTTTTTTTTTCCAGAGAAAAGTGAAGTGGGGCGGGGGGTTAGGGGTGGGAAGGGATGAAAATGTGCAACAATGAGTGAATGGAAAGTCAAACTCTCTGTAAACTTCCCATTAAAATCTCAAATTTAAAAAAAAATAGCCTTAAGAGCCCTCTTAATTTGTGGCATATAATCCTGGTTTATCTTTTATTGTCTAGCATGCAACCATTCAGAATTGGCCAAGTACGAGTTGTAAGATGACTGCGTTGGTGACCTACAGGTAACTTCGTACACATATACTGCTTTGCTTAAATCTTGACTTTGATCTGCCTGCTGTAGAGAAGCCAAGGTATAATGATTAAAGTGATACAGTTAGATAGCCTATGCTCAAATATTCTTTTTGTAATACTGAGAAAATCAGTTTTAGAAAATGTTCATGCCTGAATTGTTCTCACCTCTAACATGAGGCTGACTGACTGCAAGATTGAAAATGAGCTTTGTAATGCATAGTGTATAACATAGGCTGCATCATTTTCTTAAAAGATACCTCCTGTATATAATTCAGCAATATTCTGTGAGGAAAATATTGAAGTTTGACATCCTTCAAAATTAGTGCAAGTTCTGAATAAACTTTTGTACTCTTGTAGATCTTTCAAGGCGTTTTTCCCGCTCCTTGGCAACTTCTCTCAGCCAGAAGTTCAGCTCTGGGCACTCTGGGCCATGTATCATGTCTGCAGTAAAAACCGTATGTATTCAAATCAAAAGATTTCTGGACTGTTCTTTATTTTCCCTTTATAATGATTAAGTCTGCTTTTTGGAACTGATTTATACATGTGGTTTTAAATTCAAGATGTAATTTTTAGAAATTCCAAATCCTCTAGATATTGCAACTTGCTACAAATTATGCCACCAGATTGCCTATTCCTCTGTTTCTTCTGGATTTAACTCTTTTTTTAAAAAAATGAAAAAAGTTTTTTCAGAATGCCACAATATCAGCCAGTACAGAAAATGAAAGTTTGCTCCTATTCTTGTACTTCATAAACAAGCATTGTTCTCTTTTTTTTTCCTGTGACCATCACCAAAGTGACAGTAACCTTTTGTGATGTCTACTGGAGAAGAAACTATAATAGGTGTTCTAATGCACACTTACGTTCGAAGGAAGATTATGTCTACTCCTCATACAAGGAACTGAGGCAGAAATAAAATGTGTAGTCCATGCCCGGCTGAAAGGATAATAAAATTCTAGTTGTTTGAAGGGATGATAAAAGTCAGCAAATTGGCAAAGTAGTCCAGGTTTACAGGAAGAAATGTGTCATCTACATTGAACAGGTGCAGTGAGACAAAACTAATGACACAACTGTCCATGTGGGCATTCGCCTCAGCAAGATGGTTATTACTAGACTGAAACTGGACAAAGAGAAAAAAAGGTCCTTTAACATAATGCCCAGTCTCAACAAATCAGAAAAGAAAAGGGCTAATAGAAGGAAGAAACAATTGAGAAGATTTAGGAGTAAAGTTACCTTGTATACAACTTCATTAAAAACTGAAATTTGGAAAACCCTACCACCAAACAAAACAAGAATGATTGGTAATTTGTCTATTATTCTAGATGTCTTTCTATATGCATGATATATATTTTATAAATAGTATGAAAATATTTTTAAGCACAGAGGGCTCATTCTGTACATGCTCTTCTACAGCCTTCACTCAGCAGTTCACTAAACTCAATCATCAGCATTCTTTGTATATTAAAACATAATTCTGCATCTTGATAGTGGTCCTGCATGGCTAAGAGTCAGGAATTCTTGATAACTAAATGCTTTTCTTTTCTTTTTTTTTTAACTAAATGCTTTTCAATGTCTTGCTGTTTTAAGTTTTTGGGTGACCTAGTGGTGAGAAATTGTGCTGCAGTTTCAAATGCACACAGTTCGAATTCACCAGCTGCCCTGTTGGAGAAAGATGGGCAGTCTCCTCCCGTGTCATTTACTGAAAGCCAGTGCTGAAGGGTCAGCCATGGGTTGGTTCTGACTTGATGGTACACAACAGCAGCAACAATTCCACTATGAGTCCAAGTTAGCCAATTATATCTGCTAGGACACTATTTCCAAATAAAGTCTCCTTCAAAAGGTTCTATGAGTTAGTTGATCATAACTTTTTGCAGGTTATAAATCACCCATAACCCAGGGAGCTTTATCTGGAATATAACAATGTTTCAATCAGTGCAGCATAACCATATTAACAGTATGAAGGAAAAACACAAAACAGTCAAAATAGTTTCAGCTGATGCAGAAAAACTATTTTACAGTACCCATAAAAGCACTCACTAGAAGTAAGCTTTCTCAACAGAAATAATTACTGTATATGAATACCCTACTATTATATTAGCCTATTATAAACCCTATATATTTTATTATATTAGCTAACATCATATTCCATAATTAAAGGATGAAAGAGTTCCCACCAAGAATGAGAACAAGGATGGTGGCTTTCACTTCTGTTCGATATAGTACTAGAAGTTCTAGCAAGAGCAATTTGGGGGTGAGGCTGTAAGAAGACTACAAATTCTAATAGAAGTAGTAAGATTATCAGTAGGTGGATAGGACCTAGATAAACCTTGGAAAAAAACCTTTCAGAACAGTAGTTAGGACTAGTAAATGAATTCTAGCAAAGTTGTAAGATAAAAAATTTATACATCCAAGCAAACTCAATTGTAGAGATCATATTTCATTATACTAGCAGTGAATAATCTAAAAAGAAAATAAAATTCCATTAAAGTACCACTAGAAAAGAAAGAATATTTAGTAAAAAATTTAAGGAGATAAAAGACTTAAAACATTGAAAAGTAAAAAACACTGCTACAAATTATAGGAGCCTTAGATAAATGGGAGGACATCTTTAGCTCAAGGATTGGAAGACTTTATATTGTTCAAATGATACTACTACCAAAGCAGTTTATTAGATGTATTCCCTGTTAAAATCCTTATGACATTTATTGCAGAAATAGAAAGGTACCCTAAAATTTTAATGAAACTTAAAGTGACTCTGAATTGCCAAACCAGTCTTTAAATTCAGACTCTTTATTGAGTTGGAACCAATTCATAGTGACCCACCAACGAATTTTCATAGTGTAGTCACACAGAATGAGATTATTTGTCTTTCTGCCATAGAGTGGCTGATAATTTCGAGACCACTGTTGTTATGTGCCATTTGGTCATATTCAGCCCTGAAGCCTGCTCTATCCTGAGCCAACCTTATTTTTTTTTTGAGCCAACCTTATTGTCTCTGACATACCTACCCCCCATTACCTCAGTCACTGAGTCAATCCATCTCATCCAAGGTCTTCCTCTCCTATGCTTTCCCTCTACCCTGCCATGTTTGATGTCTTTCTCCAAAGATTGGTCCCTCCTTGCAGCATGCCCAAAGTATGTCAGACAGCTTCAGAATCCTTGCCTCTAAGGAGCAGCCTGGTTTCATCCTCTCCAGGACAATACTTGCTTTGTTCTCCTGGCAGTCTGTGGTTTAATCAATACTCTTCTCTAACACCACAGCTCAAAGGCATCAAATCATCTTGTTCTCCCTAGTCATAGAACACTCGAGCTCCCTAAAATAATCTTTGAAAATAAGGTGACCACCCTAGTTGGCCTAGGGGTGGAGCTGTAGGGAAAAGTGCCACAGCTATTGAGTGAAGTACAAATTCTGCTAGAGTGGACATGGCTGCCTCTTCATTCTCCTCCTCTGCTGGTGGGTGTCAGTAGAAGTCTCTTTCTAGATCTGGTTTAAGTGTCTCAGATCTTGCCCCACCATGGAAAGCCCTTTTCACCTACTCCAAAGGAGCTGGAGAAATGTTAGAAGTTGGTTCTGAGAAATTCTGTTTTCAGCTATCATGTGGCATCTGCACTAAGCATGTGAAATATATTCAACAAGTTGCTCAGATGGAAAATACTAGATGGTTTGGTAGAAGAGTTGGAGGCAGATGAATGGCAGTTTAAACCCATCAAGCAGCTGCTGGGGTTCACACCTTCCTGAGGTTGATGTTGCCTCTGGAGCATAACAATTGTAGAGCTGGCAAGGGACTTCTCAAAGCTTCTATAGCTTCCAGATATTCCTAGCTATATTGCTGAATTGTTCATTGCATCCACAATTGGTTTTTCTCTGTCTATAAATAACAGATACTTAAATATAGGATATTTAAGGGAAAAGTTTTGTTTTTAAAATACTGGAAATCAGACTAAGTCTCAGAGAATCAGAAGGTTTATCTTTAAGTTATGTTGATAAACTTTCACATGCCAGGTAGGCCACATGCCAGAATTGATCAACTGAATGACTGTGTTCTGTCATTTGACCAGTGCCTGGAAAGCCTCACTAATCATGTCCAAGATCTTGGTATAACCTATTGTTATATATAGTATTTGTGACCAAAACAATTCATTTCACAGATAAAATTTCTGCTCAGGACCTGTCTAAATGAGGAATTTTCAATTTTTTTTTCTCTTTTTGTTTTGTTGGTTTTTAAAAAAAAAAATAAATCTACAAAGCCAAGCTTTTTGTAACTTCTTCTAAACATTCCAAATACTAGTAAAATGAACTTCTTTTTGAATACTGGAGCACTATATGCATAACGCAGTGAACAAAACCCTTTTAAACCTAGAAATCCTCTATAGTTATCTCATTGGTGGATTCAAACAATCCATTAGCAAACTAAACCTTTGAAAGGGCACACATAACAAAAAAGGAATCCTAATGTCCTTATTTCAAACATTAGTACAAAGCTACAGTAATCAAATCTGATGGGGTTCTGATCGAAGGATAGACACACACAGATCAATGGGATAGAATAGAAAGTCTATAGGTAAAACTTCACATTATTGACTTGCTCCCCCACCCCACCCAAAGGAGCCAGAACCATTCAGTAATGAACAATAAGTCTTTTAAAAATGTTGCTAGGGATACTGGACGCCTACATGTGAAAGAATGAAGCTGGACTCTTATTTACCTCATATTAGAAAAATAACTATAACTCAAAAGTGCATCCAAGAACTGCAAAATTGAAGGACTAGAATTAGAAAATTCTCAGGAAGAAAAGAATAGGGAGACTCATCAAAACTTTTGATTTGACGTAGTTTCTTAAATACAATACCAAAAAATACAGACCATAGAAAAAGGAAATTGGAATCATCAAAATGTAACCAAAAATCCAACCCAACCAAATTTATACATTAGAAGACTATATCAAGAAAGTGAAAAGATTGAGAGAAAATATTTGGAAATTGTACATCTTAAACATTAAAATGGAAAGAATTGATGGAGAAATTCAGCAATATCAGTCAGTAGTTAAAAACAGATCAAAGGCTAACTGTGGAACAGACCATAATTACTCATGTGCACTTCAATTTGAATTCAATTAAAATTGAAGCTGATGGAAATGAAAACAAGTTCACCTCAACCAAAATACTACCTTTAGTCTGTCCTGAAGTAAAAAGAAAGTTCTCAAGAATAGGCTTGATGTATTAAACACTAATGATTGAAGACCAGATGAGTTGTGGAATGACATCAGGGATATCCATAAAAAAAGCAAAAAGTCATTACAGAATTGAGGGAGAGAGAAAAGACCAAAATGCACATCAGAAGAGACAGTGGTAATTGCACTAGAATGTAGAGAGGCCAAAGGGAAGAAATGTTGAAATAAAAGAGAAGGACTGAAAATGTCAAAGGACAGCTAGAGAAGACAAAAGTATTCTAAAGCAA